GGAGAACGGGGAAAAAAAAAAAAAAAAAAAAAAAAAAGAGGGAAATGGCAGATGTTAAGAAGAAAACTGGCTCGAGCAGAAGCAGTTGTGCTTCTTCTTTTGCATCCAAACTAAGGTCATAATTTACAGCCACACACACACACACACATATATAAATATATTTTGAAAAATATTTAAAAATCCAAAAAAGATTCACAAAAATGAGAACCACGAGTGTGCGGGGCTCAACTGTGTGTTCCTTGTTGAAGAGACAAAATAAATGATCTCAAAAATAGAAACAAGTCAGAGGGTGGGGGGGGGGGTCACAGTCACCCCTGACACCCCCCACGAGCTGATTGGCTGAAAAAAGATCGGATTTTGGAATACGTTGATTTTAATTTTGTAAAATAAATACAATATGGATGTTTTGTTTTTGTTTTGTTTTTTTCTTTGTAAAGCTTTGCAGAGGCATCGGCAGTTACTAAAAAAAACCCCAAAATGACTCTGATGCGGTTGCAAAAAAAAAAAAAAAAATGAAAAGGGCGATCGGGACATCTCAAAAGCAAACTTCGGAATTAATTCCCTTTCAGGGAATGAAATGATAAATAAAGGAAGAAAGCTGTCATTTGCGGAGGGGATTTTGTGATGACGTCATCCCACTTGTTGATTGTGTCCAGCGGCAACAAAATGTGGTGAACAACAATAACAACAGCAGCAGTGGCGGCGGCGGCGGCAAGAAGCCGGCGTCATCCCGCCGGGACAAGGACAAGAAGCGCGAGCGACCCGACAGGAAGTCCGAGAGCAGCCATGATGGCGGAGGAGGGGGAGGCGGCGGCGGCGAGAGCAAAGAGAACCGCGAGACGCCGCCGCCGCCGCCGCCGCAGCAGCAGCCTCGACCGGAGCCGCCGGACGCCGACGGAGACGCCAAGGCGGGACAGGACGCCAAAAGCGGCAGTCCCAAGAAGAGAGGAGGTGAGCGAAAAAAAAAAAGTTCTGCCGGACAGACACCGGCGTTGCACGCGGGGGGGTGAACGCATCGTCGATTGAGACGGCGCACGTTTCGCTGCTTTCCTCGAGTTGGGGCGCGCGGACAAAAGTCTTGGGACGCGGCTCCTCGTCCGTCGGGTTCGGGGCCCATCGTGCGCTTCCAACGATGCGTCGGAACACTTCCTTGACCTTTTCGTTCGAGGATTTGTTTGAAGCAGCAAAATCAGAGTTCGCGCTTCGTAGGAATCGATTGACAATTTGAAGGTCATTGAGTCACACAAAGAAAATTGAAAACAAAACAAATCGGATGATCATTTCGGCTCATCAAATCAATTCAGTATTTCCAAAAAAAAAAAAAACATTGGAGAACATATTTATTTTACAATGACAGTATTAAAACATTTTCACTGAATAAAATCAAGCGTATCTTAAATGTCATGAATATGACATCTTAAATCACCTTGAAGCGATACAACGCCACTTCCTGCTCAATACAAAAATGGATCAAATAAAAATCTTTTGAATTTGTCGTTATTCATTTTCCAAAGTGCATCATTTTAAGGGTGAATGGAATTCCCCAAAACCTTTTGAACGAAAAAATTGCAGCACGTGTTGAAGATCTCAACATGTTCAATACATATCTAATGTACCAAAAAAAAAAAAAATTGATTATCAAAGAAATAAAAAAATGGATTTGAGAAACACTTCCCAGAAGGGCGGAAGCTGTTTTCGCTGCAAGCTCCAAAATTGACTCCGCCTATTTTGAAGTTCGGCAAAACGACGATTGCGTCGAGTGCACGTGAAACGCCGCCGCCCCCCTCCGATGTTGACGCACGATGGCCCTCGCCGCGCCGGCATGTCAGCTTGCGTGTGTTGCTGTGCAACCGTCGCTAGGTAACAAACGTAAGTGGGTGTCCCTGCCGCTGGAGGACGCCACCCGGGACGGCGGCGGCGGCGCCAGGACGCCCAAAAATTGGCCCGCTTTCACTCACCCGCTTGCTTTCCGTCTCGTCTGTCCCACGTCCAAGGCTGGGAGTGGGGGGTTCAGGCAACCCTCCCGGAGCCCCTCATCGTCTCGGCCTCAACTGATGATCTTTGTCTTTAGCTCGTTAGCAATTGTGAGCAATTGGGACACGCGCTAGAATCGTACAACAAACGACCTCGCAAAAGAAACCCCGTCTGAGGTTTTAGTTTGCCGAATGCTGAAGCTGTTTGTTCCTCCCACTTGAGGGGACCCGCGAAACCAACGTCTCTTAGTAGGAGAGGGGAAAGCCACCGACCGGGAGAGCCCGACGCCCTCCGTTTGAGAACCGCCCGTCTTTAACGAGCGCCTCGGTCGCTAAGCGCGTCATCGATATGCCGGGAATGCAGTGAAGCCGTCGGGCGGCGTGCCGGACGCCTGCCAACGTGCGCTCGCCTTTTGTTTGTTTTGTCTGGGGCTGGCCAGGTTGGAGGAGGGAACCCCGCGACTTTGGGGACGACGCGGCCAGCGTGAGGAGCGACGGAGGCGGCGGCGGCGGCTTCCGCGGCGCCGCCCGAGGCCGAGGCAAAGGGCGCGGGCGCGGGAGAGGTCGCGGCAGAGGTATGTGGACGCGACTGGCTTTCCTTTTCTTTCTTCTCCAGTGCATCCTTTCTTGCCCTCTTCTCTTTTCTCGCCTCTTATTTTTGTTTTATTTGAGTTGGTTCTCCCCACACGCCATTTTTTTTGGTTCTTGTTCTCCTCCATCCCCTCTTCATATTTTTCATTCCCCCTTGAACTTTTTTGTCCTGTTTTTTTCCTTTGTGCTCAGTGTTTAATTTTATATCCTCCCCCCATGTGTTCTTTTTTTTTTTGTTGTTGTTGTTCTTTCACCCCCTTACCCCCCCGGCCTGCTGCCTGTAACAACAGGACAGGTCGCGGCATCGGTTTAGTGTCGGTTCGAAGAGACAAAAGGGCCCGCCTCTTAACTACCCACCCTTTTGCCGCTCGCAGGTCGCTTTGAGTACTCGCAGGGCTTCCGCGACGGGACAGACGGCTCGGACGGCGCCGCCTCCGAGTTCAGCAGCGGCGGCATGGTTTACTACTACGACGACGGCAACAAAGTGCAGATGTACACGGTGGACGAGAAGCTTCTCAAGGAGTACATCAAACGACAAATGTGAGTTGAGCGGGAAACGATCGGGGTGGGCGCTGAAAAATTCACCCCCCGCCCCCGGTTTTTCATTTTTGCCCTTGACCTTTTCCTCGGGATAATTTAGTTGTTTTTTTTCTTTGTCTTGGATTCGTTTGCCCTCATTAATATTGTTGTTCTCTCCCATTTCCCCTTTTGGTTTGATACGTTTTTCTTTTCCACCTTTTGGTTCACATTTGGCTTATTGGACAGTCTATGAAATTCTAAAACATGACAGCGAGGTTCTGTTTCGCTCTTGAAACCGACTTAAATGTGACTTGATTAAACCTGCGGTGTGTTACCCCATTGAATGACCGTAACGTGACTTGTTGTCGGCCGCCTCGCAGCGAGTACTACTTCAGCTTGCACAACCTGGAGCGAGACTTCTTCCTTCGGAGGAAGATGGACGCTCAAGGCTTCCTGCCCATCTCGCTCATCGCCAGCTTCCACCGCGTCCAAGCGCTCACCACCGACGTGAGCCTCATCGTGGAGGTAAGAGCCCCGGCACCGGCCCGCCAGCGCGCCGACGTGTGACGCGTCCCCCCGTCCGGCCAGGCCCTGAAGAACAGCAAGGAAGTGGAGCTGATGAACGACAAGGTGCGCTGCAAAGTGGAGCCCGAGCGCTGGCCCATCCCCACGCCGCCCGCCGTGGGGTCGCCCAGGACGACGGACTTCTCGCAGCTCGTTCACTGTCCCGAGTTCGTTCCCCGACAGAGCGTCGCCGTCGCCAACGCCGGTCAGTGCTCTCCTTTCTCTGGCGAGCCCTTTGAAACGGTCAGTCATGCCTTGGTCGCATCTCGGCCGGATGACGAAAGGCATTTGACTTTGGAGTGAGCCGACCCTCCATGAAGCGACTCCAGTTGCTCCAGAATGCTGCTGCTCGTCTCTTTATTGGCGCTCGTAATCGGGAGCGCATCCCTTCACTGGCTCATTTTCGGGTTCTTTTGAAGACCCTCTGATTTTTTTTTTTTCCCTAATCTTGAAATGGCCTCACCCCCAGTTTAGCTCTCAGAACACACGTTCCCATTTCAGGAAGTAGCCACATCCAACGCATGTGTTTTAATAGGCTGATAAAAGTAAATGACAACAGTGTGGTGTAATCAATGTCAAGCATTTAAAAAAAATAAAATAAAAGGCAAATTCAAGCGCTTTGTGTCGGCAGCTTCACCGCCCGTGAAGGAAACCCCCACCGAACCCGCGACGTCTCAAGAACCCGCAGATGAGCCCTCAACTTCCGGACAGGAGCCAGCCACGGGGGCTGACACCCCAAAAGACGCTCCCGATGCCTGGATCCAGGTGGAGAAACGTCACCGACACGCCTCCGGCAAAGCAAAGGTAGGCGGGGCTCTTTAGTTTCCTCCACTGTCGATGAGGGGAGACCTTTTTGCAACTTGAACTGGATAAAACACTGTTGAACATGCAACAATCAGTTGTAACGTCAACACGGCTACGCGACAATGTGCAGCGACCACCTCGGAGTCTACCGGAACCTACAAAACAATGCCGTCCATTTTAGAGAAACGTCACTATCCGGAAAAGGTTGTTTACTTGGCTAACGTTGCCGTGGACGATGCGTTTCAAGGACCGCGGCGAGGCTCCGCCGCAGCAGCACCACCACGGGCGCGTCTCCACCGTCGCCCCGGAGGCCGACCAGGAGGAGCTGGACTTCATGTTCGACGAGGAGATGGAGCAGATGGCGCCGCGCAAGAACCAGTTCACCGACTGGTCGGACGACGACGACTCGGACTACGAGCTGGACGATCAGGACGTCAACAAGATCCTGATCGTCACGCAGACGCCGCCGTACGTTCGAAAGCACCCCGGCGGCGACCGCACCGGCAACCACGAGTCGCGCGCCAAGCTGACCGCCGACCTGGTCAAGGCCATCAACGACGGCCTTTATTACTACGAGCAGGACCTGTGGAAGGGAGCCGAGCAGACCGAGTGCACCAAGGTAACATCCTTCGCGATTGTATACTGAAAATGAGAACGAACACTCCAAGCAATTGGCATCTGGTGACCGCACGCTAACACCGCCAAAGTTGACTTCTCGCCGTCAGCCTTTTAATATGCACGGCTTCCTGCTAATACCACCTCGTGTCGCACAATTTCCGAGCTCTGGTCTTTATCAGCGACGAACACGTCTAGTATGAGAGCATAAATACCGCGGCCACCTCGGGCCGCACGTCCTCGGCGTGGCCAAATTTAGTCGGCCGTGAATCACCCTGAGAAGCCTGACCCGCTTTTTTGGGAGGGGGGGGGGGGACAAGTTTACAGTACATTTGTTCATTGGTGTCGTCATTGTCTTTTATAATCCCGACACGTCGTCACAGCGTGCGGCGGCGCTTAAATCCGACAACACTGACTCGCCACACGGTCCGAGTTGAACTTAAGTGCCGTTTCAATTTTTTTTTTTTTCCATGGGCACGCTCAGTCAAATGTTCCCATTCTCATGGCAGAAACTTGAGCTCCCATTTTTAAGATGCTGCTCACGTCATAATTTTTCGTCCTGCTCTTTTGAAACCCAAGTTTTTGAAGTGCACAGCATGTGGGAACTGTCACCCCTGAACACACACGCCAAGGTCACTTTTTCCACTGATGTGTAACGTTCAAAGTCCCTTGCACATCTGTTGTCTCACACGCACACACGCCGGTCATGTTCCTTCTTATCAGCCTTTTTACAACCTGTTTGAAAAAAAGGTCCCCACTTCCTGTCTTCAGCAGGAAGTCGAGAACTTCAAGAAGCTGAGCGTCATCAGCCAGGACGAGTTTGACACTCTTACGCCCAAAGTAGCCGTGGACCCCGATCAGGAAGTGCCGTCCCTGCCCGCTGCCGGTGAGCTTCGTCGCAAAGCGCGCCGGGTAAACATTTGCGGCGAATTAACACTCAACGTTGCGCATTGTCAGTGCCCAGCGACACGGAAATGGCTCGATCGTTGCCCAAAACGGTGCCGGAATCGCCCATTGCCCACCAGCCCAGGACCCCGAGGACACCGCGCACCCCAGGGCGCCAGGACCCCACCAAGGCGCCGCGCTTTTACCCCGTGATGAAGGAGAGCGGCTCCGTGGATGGACAGGTGAGGTCGGCAGAGAACCCTCTTGGTGTTGGGGAGCGAGACTCCGCCTCATCACTTTCGATTCCTACGTTAGCTTCCAGCGTTAGCGCTTATCAACATTCCCACAAGCGTTTGTTGGCTTTCACTGTGGCCTTCTGAAGTTAGCTTCCAACTTTTTACCTGTAACGTTAGCTTCAACGTGACCTCTGATAGGTTCCAACGTTTGCAACTCAAGTTAGCTTCAGAGGTTATTTCTTAACATCCAAGCCAAGAAAGACCAACGTTGTCTTCCGACGTGAGCGCCAATGCTAGCTTCCAACCTTGGATACCAAAATTAGCTTTGAGCATAACCTCGAACGTTCTCTTGCGATGTTGGCTTCAATCTTAGATTCTGAAGTTAGCTTCCAATGTTAGCTTCTTAAGTTGGCTGCTAATGTTGGCTCTAACTTAGGAGCTGACGAAGATCAATTTTAGCTTTTGGCGTCAGCTCAAACATCCTTGGCATCCATTGTTCTCTTCAAGAACTGCCCCCAACTATCTATCTGTCTATTTACTTATTTCAGCAAATGTCGGTTGAGTGCTGATTGACCGATTTAATTTTTACGGCCAGCAGCAGTCCTGATGATGATTTTCCCATCTTGCAGATGCCCAGGAAAAAGAAGACCCGGCACAGTTCCAACCCACCGCAGGAGGCGCACATCGGCTGGGTGATGGACTCACGCGAGCACCGGCCGCGGTCCGCCTCCATCAGGTCTAGTTTTTTTTTTTTTTTGGTGTGTGTGCGCGTTTTGAAATCAGCTAACAGGTTGTCTTTGGTCCTCGTCCCCACACAGCAGCTCCAACGCGTCTCCTTCCGAAGGGGCCCCGCTGACGACAGGTTACGGCTGCACGCCGCAGTCGCTGCCCAAGTTCTGGCACCCGTCGCACGAGCTGCTGCGCGACAACGGCTTCACGCAGCAGGGCTACCACAAGTACAGACGACGATGCCTGAACGGTACCGAGAACAGAAGCACAAATGCTCCCGTTTTTGGCATCCCTTCTTGAGTGACAAGGGCATCCGTTTGGGTATTTGTGTGCCAGAGCGTAAGCGGCTTGGCGTCGGCCAATCGCAGGAGATGAACACCCTGTTCCGGTTCTGGTCCTTCTTCCTGAGGGACAACTTCAACAGGAAGATGTACGAGGAGTTCAAACAGTACGCCCTGGAGGATGCCAAAGACAACTACAGGTGAGGTTGGGGAGACTGACCGTATTTCTTCAACTAGTGGCCTCCGCTTGAATAGAGGGCATGCCCCAAATTCAGAAAGTACTTCAGACAGGAAAACGTGTTATCCGCCATGCCTCCCGATATTACAACAAGAGGGCTGCTTAAATAGCGGCGGCTGGTAGAAGCAGCCTTCACGAGTAGTCGGTACATTGAATAAGGCCGGTATTGCCCCGCCCTCGGGATACCTTTTATTTGCTACTCACCCATTCCATGGCGTGACACATTGGTTGACCTCCATGTTTGTTCTGACTGCCTTCCAGGTACGGCCTGGAATGCCTGTTCCGGTATTACAGCTATGGCCTGGAGAAGAGGTTTCGCTTGGACCTGTTCAAGGACTTCCAGGAAGAGACCCTGAGGGACTTTGAGAGAGGTAACGGATCCCGCTCGCCACCAAGTCTTGTTTGCGTTGTAACAAGAAGAGTGTGAAAGGACTGGCTTTCTCCTGCAGGTCAGCTGTACGGCCTGGAGAAGTTCTGGGCCTTCCTCAAGTACTCCAAGATGAAGAATCAGACCATCGACCCTAAGCTGAAAGAACACCTCTCCCAGTTCAAGAACCTGGAAGACTTCAGGGTGGTGGTGAGTGACACTCACAGTTTGAGGAGAGAGACATACCCGCCGAAAGCCTCACTGGAAAACAGTCAGGTCCAGGAAGACATCATTGGAAAGGAGTCAGGCCCTTGAAGACCTCACGAGACGCTTCGACTGAAAGGTTGTTTAGGGACACAGCGGAGACCAGTCAGGTCCTTGAAAGCTACACTGTCACTCAGTCCAGCCCGTTGTTTAGAGGCTACGCATGGAAGCAACACAGGAAACTGTTCAAGTCATGGAAGGCCACAGAGGAAATTTCCATATCTGATGGACAGCTAGGTCCAAGAAGGGCATTCTTGAAAGCAGTTAGGTCCTTGAAGACCTCACTAGAAACCATTCAGATCCATAAGGCCGCACAGGAAACCAGTCAAGTCCCAGTAGGCCACAGAGGGAAAAAAAAAAAAATTTTTTTTTTTTTGATGGATGGCCAAGCCTGGTCCTGGAATGTCATTGTGGACAGCAGTGAGGTCCCGGAAGGCCACATTTTTTCCCCATGTTTTATCCTCAAATGAGTGTTAAGGGGATGTTCGAGAGTGATAAATGCTAATCCTTATGCCCACAGCCCCCCATGGGAGAGGAAGGAGGCCGGAGGAGATGCCACTCGTCAGCGGCGGGGGATGAGGGCAGGCGTCGCCGTCATCCCTCCAACTCTACCTCAAAGTCGATGCAGGCGTCCTCCAAAGCACCACCGACGCACCACAAAGACGGAGGCGCCCAGAAGAAGAAGGCGGACGAGCCCAAATCGGGAAAGAAGGACACGGAATGAAGATGGCGAGCGCGCGTTGACCTGATGTGGTGTTTGCGGCACGTCAATACAAAGCCGCCGTCTGGATTGTCTACGCAAACGTTTACAACATCAGATGCATTCCGTGCATTTTGATCCTCACTTTTGCCAAACTCGATCGATCCTCACTTGATCTGTAAACTGCCACTGCGGCCGCCCTCCTGTGCCTTAATCTTTTTCGCCCCCGCTTAAATGTACTTTTATTTTTCTAACGTCTTTTAAAGGTTCATCGGATTAAAAGAAATTAGATATGCATTTTAATTGTGACAATCATGTCGACACTTTTAATTCAAATACATTTTATGCCACCCGCAAGCTTTAAAAAGTCCCTTCTGACATAATTTATTCTTTTACTTCTGGTCGTTATCGACTTGATTGATGGTGTGGTCATGACTTTTTGCTTCATTATAGAATAATTTCTGCTGGAATTATGGGATTGAGCTAGCCACGGAAAGAAAACCTAAAGTGGTTTTCCTTTTTTTTTTTTTTTTGTTCAAAGTTTACTGGATATTACGCTTTAGGCTTTTTTGTGCTTTTAGTGCACTTAAATTGCTTTTTCTTATTTTCATTATTGCTTCAATGGACTTAAAATTGAGGTTTTAAAGTTGAATTAAAGAAAAAAATGTAAATACTATATAAAAAAAATCTTTGGCTATTCAGTTATTCTTTGATTTTAGGAAGTGATTTGTCAGTAGCGTTTTTTTGGAGTGTTTTTTTTTTGTGGGTGGGGGGGAAAGTAATGCATGTTAATATCTTGAATTGTACTGTAAAAATGCCCAAAAAATATTAAATAAAAATCGATTGTATAAATGTACATTGTGAGAAGCCCTTTTATCCCTCCGACATTTCATGAATTTTGTAAACTCCTCAAACATGATCAACACCACTCTGTCCCAAAGTGATAACGGAGAATGAAAATCACACAACTACTACTAAATATTAACATGACACTGAGATTCTCTCAAAATGTTTGCCTCTAAAAACATAGTCGTTATATTATCTGGAATATTGTTGGCGTCGACTTTAGGGAGTCGGATCTCATTTGTTATTTTGACAGTACAGCTGCCAAATGAGGACGCCTCAGGTGGCCGCACAGGTGGGCGGGTGACGTGCTGCCTTCATGAAGACCTCGTATAACAATCGCAGTCGGACAGCGACCCGCGTCTTTAGGCAACAAAAACGTCAGAATGGTGTATTTTAATGGCAAAACCATCTCGACGAGCACATTTGACGTGTCTTAACAGTAAAGTACCCGTTTTTTGAATTGATGTGACTGACGATATGTTTGGAGGAGGGGGGTAATTTTCATAGAATGCGCCCCAAAGTGACGACGGATCGAATTTCGAGATACTTTTTAATCATGTAGATTCTCCCTTGATTTAAGTTTGGGGTGATCCAGACGGGAAATTGAGCACAACTGACAAAATACGCACAAGACACAAAGAGAAAAAATCGTTCATCCTATTTCAACTAATATGACACGAGGAACGTCATAACTACTCATAACAGCCGTTAGAAATGTCTATTTTAGTGTTAAACAAATTTGAGAAAGTGAAAGTGATGTTTTGATAGCGAGATAACGAAAACAATCCAAAGAAAAGCGGACATGCATGCTGAATTACTAATAATATTTTGAAAATACTATTTTTGTGTGCGTAATAGTTAAATGTCCAATTTGTGGTCGATGTGACGGGCAACACTGCATTTTCCACGTACGTCAGAGAAACAAAAATGAGTCATTTATGAACACAATGTCTTATCAGTACTGTATATTCTCTCTTGATTCGAAGTTTTTTGTGATTTTTCTCGCGATCTGGGGGTTCTCAAATCCCACGTTGAAGCCACGTAATGGGAATCCCGGTCTCGCCAAGCCGTCACACTTTTTTCCCGACAGCCACGAACGCATCACTGGGCCAGGGGCGGGTACACGCTAATCGTGCAGTATGGCGGACGATGGAGACAGCTCGGCCGCTCCGCTCGACACAAGCGGCGGTCGGGACACGGCGGAGGAGTCCGGCGGCGGCGAGGGGCTCGGTCTGGGCGGGATGCCTCTGAACATCGTCGTGTTGTTGGCAGTGCTGGCGGCGTGCGTGGCGCTATACCGCCGCTGGGCCAGGCGGCTCGGCGCAGACGGCGCGGCCCGGGGCGACGAGGCCTCGGCGCTACCCAAAATGAGGCGGCGGGACTTGACGCTAGAGCAGCTGCGCGAGTACGACGGGCTGCAGAACCCCCGCATTCTCATGGCCGTCAACATGAAGGTGTTCGACGTGACCAGCGGCAAAAAATTCTACGGGAAAGGTGCGCGGACGCTTTACCGCTTCACACATCTCTCGCGCTCCCATGTCTTGAAGCAGACAATCGGACGTAAAGTCGCTTTGTGAATCGAGGGCTCGCGTCGCTCGTTTTCTTGGCGGGGCGGGGGGGCTTTTGTCTTGTATTGAGTGGCGGATAGCGAGATGCTAATCAGCTAGAGACGTTAACGTTCGCATTGGTCTAAACTCGTTAAAATGTGTGTTTTATCAAATACGAGATGTGACGGTTTACGTGGCAAGAACAGGGTCCAATGGAGCTCCGTGGTTCGCGGTCTAAACTCAAAATGGTTTGGGGGGAGCGGGAGGCTTTGGTCTTGTTTTCGACGGGGATAGCACGATGCTAACAGTTTTGCACGACCACTTGGCTACTTTGTTGACGTTCGCTCCCTCTAGTGCGAACTCGTTCCAATGTGCGTTTAGTAATACGAGCTGTGACCGTTTACGTGGCAACAATTGGGCGTAAAGTCACTTGGTGAATCGCGGGCTATCATCAATTCGATTCGTGTGGAGTAAGTGGGGGGGGGGGCGCTTTGGTCTGTTATAATTGGCGCCGGTTTCGTGCCAACGACTTCGCAGGAGCACCCGCGGGGAGATTTGTGAACATGCCGCCGCAACAAAGCACGCAAATGTTGCCGCATTCGACGTTTTCGCTGTGTTTGGGTTGGAATGTCAACGTTAGCGCGTTAGCTCGTTGACGCGCACACGCTGTGACCCGTCGGCAGTTGTTTTACTGCTGCTTTCAAAACACGGTCGCAACTTCACTTTGGAAGCCTTGCCCCTGGCTCGAGTCACTACTGCCGCCCTGAAACGCGAACACTTACTTGCCTTTGAGCCCTACTTTGAAACCCCAATTTTAGTTTGAAAGTCCGGTGCGAGTTGACTTTTAACACGCGATGTACCTTCTTCGCTCTACAATTTAAATAGTATTATTATTGAAATCATCGCTAATCCACAGGATGGTATGTGTTTATTCCGTGTACAGAAAGTGTTTTATTCAAAAAAGAGACGTGTGAGATTAAGCCAGTATCTCTTTTGAATGAGAGCGTGCCTACGGAAAATATGTCAGCAAATGTTTATCTTCACACTTAGGGCACATCTAATCTGTATGCTGATAGCAAGACACACACACGCGCACACATGCTTCACTGAGCTTACGTTGTGCCACGAGTCGACGCGGCCGCCCATCCTAAAACAGTCCAAAGAGCTCACGGTGCAACCAAACTTAATATAATAAGCAGGGTTTGACCAATATAGTTTTTCTGAAAATTTAATTGGCGTTGAGGGGGCAGATGCTGATTCCAATATGCGGGAGAGAAAAATACCCATAGTATAAGACGTCATGAATAAAATCAACTTTTTGGGTTACCGAATGGCTCCAGAAACTTAGGATGTGAATATCGGGCCAAATATTTGACTGTTTTACAATGCTCTTGTCTTTTGTTTCACTTCACAAAAGCCACGCGGAGCATGCCATTCGTGACGTTACGAGGACATTAGTCCCTGTCGCGTGTGTGTTGCTCATAGTTGAATGTGTGTCACTTTTGACGGAGCTGCTTGATTTTTGTTGCGCGGATTTGACATCCAGGTCAATTCGGACTGGTTCCTGAGAGTAAAATGGCGTCTACCCCATACCTCGAAAAAAAAAATGAGTCAAGTTAGCAGCAAGAGCTGATTTGTGCATGGTGCCCTTGAATGTTGGCCACGACGTGATGTCATGCTTGACTTAGTGCTGGGAAGCGGATTTGTGACGTGTGGTTTGTGCCGCCTCAGAGGGTCCGTACGGGATCTTCGCGGGTCGCGACGCGTCCCGGGGCCTGGCCACCTTCTGCCTGGAGAAAGGAGCCCTGAGGGATGAGTACGACGACCTGTCCGACCTCAGCGCCGTCCAGATGGAGAGCGTCCGAGAGTGGGAGATGCAGTTCATGGGTATAACCGCGCATATTCACAACCCCCCAAATGGTCTTTTTCTTGCTGTAATATGCATGCGGTGGTCAGTTTTTGGAGTGCCTACCGTGGAGATGTTCCCTGTCCCCCTCTCCGTCCAACTGATTGTGTTTTCCCCCGTTCCAGAGAAGTACGACTACGTGGGGCGGTTGCTGAAGCCCGGCGACGAGCCGTCCGAGTACACGGACGAGGAGGACATCAAAGACATCAAGGAGCACCCCAAACACGACTGACTGCTTCCTTGCTCCCTCACTTCCTCATTTCCTTCCTTCCCTCCTTCCTTCCTTCCTTCCTTCCACTTTTCGACCCCTGACCGATCGCCACCATCTTGGGCCTCCGCTCTCTTCCTTTCCACCTCTTCTTCTGGACGGGCTTCAGGAAAACTTCTTTTGACTGTCTCGCTCACATTCGTACGTGTTTGTGACGGCCTGCCAATCAAGCCATCTGTCAATCAATAATGTCACCCCCTAGGGCACAAGTGTGGCTGTACCAAAGGTGTGAGGTAGGGCGGAGCTCTCTCTACTCTTGCTGATGATGTCTGTCTAGTATTGCAGGGAGAGCCAGTGAATTGGGGGCGGGGGTGGGGGGGTCATATGGTGGGATTGGAATCGGGGAAGGAGGGGTTGGAGGCGCTGAAAGGGTACTTGATTGGCGTCCCAAATCAATCGATTCAATCGTTTACAAGCCGGCTCCAAGTCTGTAGGCCCCGCACCCCCAAAACACCTGTCGTGGTCCCCTTTCAAAAACGGAATGGTCCAAGTATTAGTCGTGCCTTATTTGCTTTGTTGTCCCTTGTGGAGAAGTCCTCACCCCCCCCCCCCCAAAAAAAAACACAACGAAAAGGCACATGATGATTAGTCCAGTTTACCGACTTGTAAATAGCTAGCGCTTAGGACTCCAGTCAGTCAGTGTTACTGCCATGTTGACGTAGTCCACATTTTGTTTTTCTTTCTTTCTTCAACACAATCACCCCCAACCCCACAGTTGCTGCCCCCAGCCCGACCCCCCCCACCCTATCCACTTTGAGTGTGTGTGTTAGACTGGGGGAATGTTGCAGACAGTGTACATACTAAACAATATCCATGGTTTTCTTCAAGCATGACACAACCGCGAGTTTGGCCCCTTTGCCACCGTGTTACGTATTTAATGTCAGATGAGTGCGCGTGTGGAAGTTTGTGTGTGTGTGTGTGTGTGTGTGTGTGTGTGTGTTAGACTGGGGGAATGTTGCAGACAGTGTACATACTAAACAATATCCATGGTTTTCTTCAAGCATGACACAACCGCGAGTTTGGCCCCTTTGCCACCGTGTTACGTATTTAATGTCAGATGAGTGCGCGTGTGGAAGTTTGTGTGTGTGTGTGTGTGTGTGTGTGTGTGTGTGTGTGTGTGTGTGTGTGTGTGTGTGGGCGGGTGTTTGTGCGCCGGGCAGGAAGGGATTCGTTCATGCAAAATAAATTGTTTGGTTAATAATTGATTCTTTGTCTCTGAATCTATGAAAATGTTGAGTGTAAATCGCTATAACCACAGAGCAGGAAGTGAAGCTCTCGGCCGGCCAATCCGAGTAATGCATTGAATGAAACGCAACTGACCTCCCCTGACTGAATTTTTGTCAATCGCATGCTGACATGCTAATGCTAATAGATGGTTGCGCTAACCAGCGGTGCATGATAAATGTCACTCGGTGAGGGTATTGATTGTGAATTCAGTCATACCGATAAAATGGCAGTAAGGGGCCCGGACGTCAGTCTGCTTGCATGCCCCATTCCGCCACGACTGATTTCCAAAAAGCCTACTTTCCCGTTTTCCCTCTCCATTGACTTCGTTTGACTTGATTTCACAAAGATTGACCTATTTTTACTTGCACTTTTAAAAGTGCCTGTTGTTCAAAACCCGGAATGGCCTCTTTTGAGCTGTGAATTCCAATTTTTAAATGTGAGGAGGTATAACTAACTTAACCACCACTAGGCGGCAGTATCGACAGGCTCGCTCAGCATAGAGGGAATTTCCACTGGAGCAACTCGTGCTAAAATCTTGTTCCAGGGTGTTTTTTGGGGGGAGGGAAGAGCTCAAGGTTGCTTTTGACATTTTATTTGCTGTTAATTATCAAAACTACAATTCCATATACCATTTTTTTACTTTATTGAATGATTGCTTACTCAATAATAACGTAAATTAAAAAGAGCCTTAATTATTGTACTTTTTTAATTGCATGGAGACCTTTTCCCCTCGAGTTGGTTGAAATACAATTTTGTCTTATTTAGTAATGTAAATGTATTTTGAACAATTTCGCATAGGCATTGAACATTTGATTAGATTGCAAAATCAACTCAAAAAAAAGAAATGATTTGATAAATGGGAGATGATATACATATACAGTAAACATTAACTATTAAAATAATTCACACTAATCAAGAATGAACATGACTAAACTTGATTAAAAAAGGCTGTTTCGGAAGTTTTTTTAACTGATTTTATTAAATAATTGGTCAACCAATTTCATAAGTATGAGCGTGACTAACGGTACAATTTTACATGTCATGAATTTTGGTTTACGTCAAATATGTCATTTATCCAATTAAAGGTGTACATAGAGTTAGTGTAGCTATCAAAAACAAGTTTTATTTTAAGGTATAAAATGGCCTGACACCACTTTGCATTTCCTGTTCAGAAATAATGCTTTATAATCAAATTGAAGCACATCCACGTTACCATAAACACTACTTGGAAAAAATGAAACTTGGTGTTGATTTTATGAGTAAAGACAAAACAATAGTAGAGTGAAGTCCTTTATTTTGTCCGACGTGGAAAGAAAGAAATGGAGAAGGAAGCTAAATTAGCACGTGAAAGAAATGTTTGTATTCAGTACAATGACTAAACTCCCAACACAAGTGAGGGGTGAAAAAAAAAATATGAACAATATATTACAGGGCTGACACTGCCCCCTAGCGGAAAGGAATGGAACATCTGGTCCTGCTTCTTAAGACTTTTTGTACTCGATTCTTTCCACCTTGACGTCGTCTCCGATCAGCTGGTAGACATACGTCACCACCGTGGACGCCTGGATGTCCATAAGCACGAATGACGGGATTATATTGCTACAAAAAGAGGCGACAACAAAAACCATGATCACGCTTCCCCAAACCGACAAGACAAACCTCTCGGCGGTACCTTTCTAGCGCGCTGTAGGCTCCGGTGGCGGACCCGGGATTGATGTAGAACTTGTTCTCGTTCTCAAAGGCCTCAAACTTGTGCGTGTGTCCCGAGATGAGGATGTCCACGTCCAGCTGCCTCTGCAGCAGCGCCAGGCTGGCCATGTCCCCCCACGGGATCACCTGGTGGCCGTGGATCAGGCCGATCTTGAACTGGCCCACCGTCACCACCTTCTGCTCCGGGTAGTTCAGGTTCTGAAAGATAGGCGCAAAACCCTGCTCGGAAGGTCCTCCCGCCTCTGGGGAAGTGTTTATTTTGCCTGCCCCCTGC